ATCCCAGCCTCCAGGCAAATGCAGCTGTGATCTCTCTGCCCAGCCCACACAGTGACCTCTGCTGGCTGGCATCTGAGTCTGAGGGTGGATGGGGCACTGATGGCTCTGCCCAATTCCAAGCCATCAGGATGACTGGGGAACATCAAAAGGTCTCCTCTCCCTACAGGTCTTGGGCAAATTGAGGTTGGCCCTAGACTGTGTCCACAAATTGCACACAATCCTTAGCTCCACTGATTCCCTGGGGAGGATGAAGGTCACGGTGGCTTGAATGGTCATGACGTTTTATTCTGGTAGGATGACTGAGATGTAGGCAGGATGACAGTATCATTACTTTACAGACAAAGAACTTGAAGCCCAGAGAATGTCTGTGGCTCTTCAAGGGTCACCCACTGAGGTGATAGAGGACATCTGGCTCTCTGACCTCAAGCCCAGGCCACCAGTCAGGCTGATGGGTATTACGCTAAGGCAGTGTTAGCCTGGCTGAATTCTCCCCATAGGAGATCTAGCCCAGTTTTAAGGGATGCACAGTTCTGTGAGATCATCTTGTGGTTGCCCTGTGCTGGACTGACTTTCTCACTTCCTTGTCCTCCTCCCTTTCTATGGCACCACAGATATGTAACGGCTCTTGGATCACAGCTGCAACCCATTCCTGCCTGTGGGAGCTGTATGAGAAATTCATCTTGTCATGCTCCAGTTGGATAAATGTACCCAATACTATTTTATGTACATGATTAAATGCTATATAAGTGGAAAGTGGCATTGTCCACAATCAGGCTTGACTAGAACATCAAGATTCTCCTAGCCAGGATATGCACTTGACTACTAATCTAAAAGTTGGCAGTTCAAACCCACCCTGTGGCACTGTGGAAGAAAGGCCTGGCAATCTGCTTCCTTGAAAACTACAGCCAAGAAAATCATATGGAGCAGTTCTACTCTGTAACACATGGGGTCACCAATTGACTTGATAGCAATGGGTTTGGTTTTTCTGTATAGCCAGGATAACTTTTAAAAACCAAAGGAAACACAGATATGGAACATTAGGTAGATTTCTCAACATGAAGGATATTTGTTTCAAAGCTTATTGAAGAGACTGTGCTTTGATTTACTAGATAAAGTAATACTGAGCACCTAAAGGATAGAAAACCCTATGGGACCGTTCTCCTTGTCCTATAGAGCTGAAAAAACTGAAGAAAAAAAATTGAAGCCTCAAGTTGCAGTACTGAAGGATTCTGTGGGCAAAATATTAAATAATGCAGGATGCAGCAAAAGAAGATGGAAGGAATACACACAATCGCTATACCAAAAAGAACTGATTGTCATTCAACCGTTTCAGGAGGTAGCATATGATCAAGAACCACTGGTATTGAAGGAAGAAGTCCAAGCTGCAGTGAAGGAATTGGCAAAAAAAAAAAAAAAACAAGGCTCCAGAAATTGAAGGAATACCATTGAGATGTGTTTTGGTTACCTAGTACCGCTCTGACAGGAATATACCACAAATGGGATAACTTGAACAAACAGGAGTTTATTCTTACAGTTTCTGGAGGCTGGAAGTCTGAGTTTGAAGTGCCAGGCTCTAGGGGCTGGGTGAAAGCCCCTCAACCTTGGGCTTCAGCTCTGCCTCCTGCTCCCAGCACACTGAAGCTATGGAGGCTTTTCTTCACTCAGGCAGCTGCTGGCTGCGAGGCTGACAAGCACAAGGCCAGCAGGTAAAAAGGCACAGTCCTGATA